AGTGAGAGAAGTTTTCATATAATATAATCAAGATCCATTTTAGATGTGTCTAATAATGTACAATTTTTAAAATTTTTGGTCCAAAAATATACTAAATGGTGATAAACGAGAATCACAAAATTTCCATATATTCACCTCTAAAGTATACTTTAGGATGTAAAAAATAATTAACAACACAAAGTAGCATTATCTTTTAGGCAAACGAACCTACATATATAAATATCCCATCATTGCATGTCCTCTTACTTTTATGAAGAATTTGTAGTCCAAGTCTTCATCTATTTTTAACACTTTATAACAAATGTGCCTTTGATGTATTCTGTAAGGATCTCTCACATCATTTTGTTCCTAGTTTTAGTAACAACATTATGCAATTTCATAAGAAAAAAAAAATGATTCTTCTAATCAGTTTATTATTTGATTGCAACCAGACAACAGTTAGGGGTAAATCAAGTATGTTGAAACTTTCTCCAATAAAACCTTTTCTTTATTCTCCTTTAGTGGCGGCTTTGACGGGAAATCAACTTGCAATCTCTATGTAGAAAATTGATTGACCTCATGAGGTCATGACCTGTTTATTACTGTATTTTTTTTTTTTTTTTAATTTATTTGGTTCAACAAGTCCTGTTTCCCTCAATAAAATTGGCATTCTTATTCTTGGGATTCAGTTGTTGGTGCATTTAAAAGATTTTAGGGGTAAACATGGTGCGGGATTTTTATCCGTTCTGTTACATGTCTGAAAACGATTCAAAATGGAACACTATTCATAATAGACTATATTCATCTAGAACCGGACAAATTGATCCGAAATCATGTTAATTGAGATAACAAAATTTAACATTATATTGCTTAAAAATAAAAAATTAACTTTGTAAATGAGAATTTGTGGGGGAGTATGAGTAGTGCGAATGTATAAGAACACATAAATTAAAAGCGAATGCGACTATTTAAATAAATTAGTCTTTAGGGAGGGTCTCACTACCCCTTAGAATTCTTTCATTAGTAAATTCGCTGCACACACGAGGTATAGATTAAAATTACAAGTATATGACTCCTGCCTAAACCTACCACAACTATATTCGAAACTACTAATTACTTCCCTAGCCACAATGTGAACTATAAAACAACTATTTGTAATTTCTCAAAGCTAATAAAGTACTTAATCCCTAAGTACCCAAGAGTTAAGAGAATAAAACAAATTCAACTCTTCAGTGATGCAAGAAAACAGATTTGAATTTTTGAAGATCTAAACTATGATAATATAAAACAACTCTCACGAACTCTCAAATACTATCTTGAACAGTAACCAGTACTAATTGTAATTGCAGTAGTTTCTCTCCGAGTCTTCGTGATAACATATATATACAATCTCTAAGTAGGTAAGACATGTCTTCATCTTTCCTTGTCTTCAACATCCTTCCATATAGAGTCAATTTCCTTCCAGATTAGATTTGTTTCCTTGTTCGGAGATCCTAAGAATCTTCGTTTAATAATTCTGCAAGAAACATATTTTTCAGTTTATTGACATTCGAATCTTCGTCAATATCTTCATCAATCTCCACGGCTTGATTCCAATCTTCTCTTTATGTGTGCGAGATCTTCATATAGTGGATCAACTCATCTTTCTTTAAATAAATCATGCTTTATTTATGTACATAAACAAAGAAACTCATTATAGTAACTCATTAATACATATGACTTAGATATGATAAGAGAATATAGATAAGATATTATTATCTAATACCTTTTATAATATATAAATCTAATATATTGTAATATATATATATATATATATATATATATATATATATATATATATATATATATATATATATATATATATATATATATATATATATATATATATATATATATATATATATATATATATATATATATATATATATATATATATATATATATATATATATATATATATATATATATATATATATATATATATATATATATATATATATATATATATATATATATATATATATATATATATATATATATATATATATATATATATATATATATATATATATATATATATATATATATATATATATATATATATATATATATATATATATATATATATATATATATATATATATATATATATATATATATATATATATATATATATATATATATATATATATATATAATTAAGGGCTATCCCATTAATGCTAAATTTTTTCGTTTCCCGCTCTTTTTGGGAATGGTTAATTATGACAAAAAATATATATTGTTGTTTTTCATTGAAGTATACAAATACAAATCTAACTAAGAGTAATTAATATAACGACTTAATTATAAATGTGATATATACTATTATATATAATTTTATTTTAATCAAAGTTTTTATATATAATATTTATTTATTTTTGGTAACTTGTGCATGTGCACATGATTAATACTAGTTAATAATAATGCATAAGAATTAATTAATTACAATTGAGAGAATAGAAAAACTTTTCTTTTAATTTGTTTGGTTTGTCCCGCAATAAAATCATTAAGAAGAATGTTAAGTTTATTGAACATTTGCCAAACTAATATTTTACAAAAATATTCATCAACCATTAGTCCATTATGGTCTAAATCTTCTAACCAACAATATAGCAGTTTTGCTATGAAGCCAACAGTTGGCTCCATAGTTGAGCCAACCTTCTATATACAACAAGTAAACCATACCATATTAATAAAATTATTAGTATTTATGTAAGTAATCAAAGAATATGGAATGGTTTATTTGTTGTATATAGAAGGTGACTCCATTTTAGAGCCAACTGTTGGTTTCATAGCAAAACTGAACAACATAGTTCTTATAAAGAGTAGAAAGTACATAAAACCATTCAAGCAAAAGAATAAATATTTATATAATAGATCAACAATGAAAATATGGCAACCATGGAAATTAGAATGATTTTGATATTTAGACATTTTAATTATTGAGTTGTGCTGATCTTGTCATATTAGGTATTGAGTTGTGAGTCATTAGGCCTTTTAGGTATTAGGTAATTAAATATTAAATGTATCAATATATAGTGAATATTTTGTATTAATATAATTAAATTAGGACAAGTTGTCTGGTTAGGGACAAAAAATAAATAAAATGGATATCAACATTGTTTTAAATAATCCAATACCAGAAAAGATACACAATATATATATATATATATATATATATATATATGACCATACGTTTTACAGATAAAAAACGTACTCCAACCATAAAGAAACAAATATGGGTTATATTGTCCACCCTCAAAAAGTCCAACAACATAGAGAAACTAAAAGAGAAAATTATCTTGCTCACCACATACATCTTATTTTGAGATAAAAATGCTACGCTAATTTTTTGGGTACATTTTTACACTACATTGTTACTTTTTTGCATCAATATTTAATTACACTGGTCATATTTGAATATATAGTCTTACCAAGTCAAAACATTTTTTAAATATGGTAAAATGCTTAAATTATGTTCGTAGAATATTTTGATCCAAAAATCTTTCAACTCAAACACATACGCTAGAAGAGCGGGGCAATCGTCAATTGAGTAGAGGATTGCGAGGTGTCGACGGTAGAGGTTTTCATGCATGAGGAGAGGCAGAGGGAGTGGTGGTGGTAGCGTCGGAGGAAGGACCCTCCGGAAATCCTTCTGGAGGGCAGTCACATCCCCGCCATCACCAAGGACAGCGATGTCACACAACTCAAAACCCTCCACGACAAATCCTTGCTAGCTAGGAGAGGTGTGAAGACGTCGCCTCTTGATTTTCCAACTGTAGCTCGGTCAAGCACGGCGACACTCTTGGTATTATTTTTTTTTTGTTTATGCAGCGCTTGGAAAGGGTTGTTTTGGTATTTTGGTTTATCAGGATATGAATAACTACCATATTGTTGCATATTTGACGTGTTTAACATTCTTTGTTTGCTTTAGAATACTTTGAGGGCATTCGGGTGCTCATGGACAAGTTTCTGATTGAGATTGAGTAGTTTTTGGTTGATGCCGACACTATGCCAAAAAGGCTTCACATAACACTTTTTTTTTTCTTTTTTTTTTTTTTTTTTTTGCTACAGATAGCGCTTTTAAGCGTTATAGGAATCAGTATACTTGGAACACTGATCTCTTCAAATAACTCTTTTAAAGTGTTATGCGAAGAATCTTTTACATAACAATTTTTTATATTAAGTGTTATGTGTAGAACATTTCACATAACACTTTTTTTATATTAAATGTTATCTATATTTATATTGATCAGATAATATTTTTTAACAAAAGTGTCATCTGAGATGATGATAATATATATAACTTTTTAAAACAAGCATTATCAATGCGTGTATTTTTATGTATTTTGTGTTTGTATTCATTAACCCCTTGTACTAGTAAACATGAACCAAGTGCCTTAAATCATTAACACCATGTACCAAGAAGCAAGAACCAAGAAGAAAACAACACAACATGAATATATCAAAACATATTTAATATATAGGCACCCTTTATGATTACGAGACAAGTATCATGAAGAACCCAACAAGATGAAAACAATAACGAATAAAATGGAGAATTTGAAATAATGTTTCCCTCCATCAAGAATCCTATTGTTTCGACACATAATATAGTGTCTAACCTTGGCCTTGCTAGACCGGATACATTTACATCATATACATATTTTGCTCAGAACTTGCGCAATTTCGAGCATGTAATAATTGTTCAGAATAGTGAACGGGAGGTTGATCCGACCGAAATGTTCTTTAGATAAAAATGTTATATCATTTTCCAAATGAAGATTTTGGTGGAAAAGAAAGACAAAACTGGCATAATCACTATAAGTTCTTAAATTACCTTCATAGTCTCTTTCATTTTTGGCACCAGAAGTAATGCACTCGGTAGCATTCTACATAGGAAGTCTCAGGGAGGCATTTGATACATCATGAACTGATACAATCACAGATGTCGATAGCTTCTCCTATCAATGTGAAATGCGAATATTAATAAGACAGGGCAATTCACAACATACATCCATATTATTTTATATTACACTAGATGACGATTAAGGGAAACCATAGGTGTATGTGCCCATACCGCATCTTCATCAGACAAAATACTATGAAGAATGCTCTTAAGCTGGGTAGTTGTAGCTGGCAGTACTTCATGCAAGTCTTTATCCATTTAAGCTCTTATATTTCATAGAGAAAAATAAAAATAAAAATACCCAAGCTCATCAATTGATCTGAAAATACACCAATAAAAGAAAGCAAAAATGACAATGATATAATATTATTGTTTAGAATAACACTGCTCTGAGAAATGTGCTTCCCATTAAAGGATAATCAAGAAAACCAGCATTAGTAAGGACACGTTAACATTTGTGTTTGACATGCAACAAATTCAATTTGCTATATGTTTACAACGTGCATATAAAACTCCAGTACTATTTATGGTTTCGTAGGCCATGACGATAAACAAGAGTCAGAGACAATCTTTCTCGCACGTTGGTCTGTTCCTGAAAAATCCTGTTTTTGTCACGACCAATTATATGTTGTTGTTTCACGTGTAACTAATAGAAGGGGTTGAATATATTAGTGTGTGGGAACAATGAATAACCCAATAATCAAACTCATAATGTTGTGTACAAGGAGACTTCTAATAATATATAATTTTTTTGTGAAAAACATTTTATGATGGAATACTTTTCTATGTATTATAACTCTCTTATAAATGAATGCATGTGAAATGATAACATTTTTCAAATTTATATAGCCCGTGTATCGCACGGGTTACGCACTAGTATCACCGAATAAACTTAAGAGTTTAAAAAATTTCAGCAAAATTAAAAAATCTTACAAAAATTTAGATTCTAGTAGAAATTTAAATTTTACTCAAAATGTCAAATAATTCAAACATAGCCCAATAATATACTTGACCTGGGTCATTGGTCAACCATCAAGTCACCGAATCGATTGTTTAACTGTGCAATTTATTTTAAGAATTATAATTATATTTTTATTATTTTTTGTCCATTGCAAATAGAGTTGGAAGAGTCATTGTTGACAATTCTCCTGGCATAGTGCTAATAATGGACTAGATCAAAATGGCTCAATTAAATTCTAGTGCTTCTTCTATTAGTGAAGTTTCTAGAAAAAAAAAAATATATCAAACGGCGCAATGCACCTTGGGTCGCTACGGAAACAGCCTCCTTGTATAATTACAAGGGTAAGGTCTGCGTACAACTGACCCCCCAGACCCCAACCTGTTGGGAATATACTGAGTATGTTGTTGTTGTAATTATATTTTTATTCTTTAAATCTTATAACATTGCGAAAAAAATAATAATTTCTATATAAATCTCATACATCAAAATCTTAGTAATTGTATATCATACATAAATATTTACCACAATATATATATATATATATATATATATTTATAAAATAAAAAGAAAATATATACAACGGGGTCAAATTAGGTTGGCTCGGCTAGTCAATGTCGGGGTCGAACAATATTGACCTAATTCCTAGTTAGCCTGTTCGAATGATCTTTCCGAATCGATGATCCGAGTCTTGGGTCAACTCGTCGGGTGAAAAATGCATTTACACCATCTTGAAATAGTTTTATAACTAGTGAAAATGTGGAAAAAATTGCATAAAATAAATGTTATTATTAAAAAATAAGAAAAATAACTCGGGGGTGAGAGAAAGCCGCCGACGAGGTCTATGCAAATACCAACCATTTTATTCTTTTTCTCTTTTCCCACTTCCCAGGCTGAAAGTGGCAATAGTGAAATTACCCGGAAGATGATGGGCCAAAATGAAAGTTCTTAAAGTATATGGCGTCCTGGCAAATAGACGAACAGCAGGGGCTCCGTAGTTGAGAGTCGATGAGACATCAAAGCCGCACTGTCGACATCCTTTGCCCCACTCGCACCACTCGCTGAATCACAGCCGTGCCAGCAGTACACGCTCCACACTCTGAATCACAGCAGTGCTAGCAGTACACGCGCCGCCATGTGTTGGTGTCCGAAGTTGTAGCCGAACGTATTGCCACCGTCTTGGAGTTCGAAAGCTTCGGAATCAATTTGTACGGTATAGTTCCGATCGATACTATTTGTTCCTCGATTGTTCAATCAATTCCGTTTAGTGTATGTGTNATATATATATATATATATATATATATATATATATATATTTAATAATTTGAATTACTGCATATCGCATTTAGTTCTGAAAGGCAAGAGCTTGGGAGCTAAGTTGCTTATTATCGGTTGTTTCAATTATGTGCTTTTCAATATTTGAATGTTTATTTTTTTATTTTTAATCAAGGTGGCCTAGGTTGTTGGAGAACAGTATACTTTGTATCTCTTTCTGTTGGTTATCTAGTTCAGAATCCTGAGCTGTCCGGCGAGATGGGGTTGACAGAAAAGGATGTTGACAATGAAAAAGTGAGGGACTCGATAGATAGTCAGGTTACGGTAAAAGAGCAGCCTTCGATTGGCAGTGGAAGCCCTTTGAGCATTAGTGGCCGGAATAAGTGTTTCGAAGGGAAAGATGCGTTATCTTATGCTAATATTCTCCGCTCACGGAACAAATTTGTGGATGCTTTTGCTGTCTACGAGAGTGTGTTGGAGAGGGAATGCGAAAATGTTGAAGCTCATATTGGTAAAGGGATTTGCCTTCAGATGCAAAACTTGGGGAGGGTCGCATATGAGAGTTTTGCTGAAGCCGTGAGGCTGGATCCACAAAATGCTTGCGCACTCACACATTGTGGTATCTTGTATAAAGATGAGGGGCGACTGGTGGAGGCAGCTGAGGTACACATGCGTGCACTCATCATAGTTGCTTAAGATCAATTTTGAAGTTGTGATCTCTACTTATTCTACTGCTTGAATGAACTCTCTTATACTCTTTAATAATCTTCAGTATTTGTCAACTATAACGAAGACACTGATACATACAGACAGCTTACGTTAACGTCAAAGCATTTGTGATATTGACTGTTTGAAATGGTCTGTAATTGCGTCATTTCACTCTTCTGCCCTTGTTTTCGCGTCATCAATGTTATGAGGTCTGATAGGAATTTCATGACCTGGAAATAGAAAAATTGTTATTGTCCAATTTGGGCTTTATCAAGTCTATCTCTCTCTCTTGTCTGAGTTTGCTCTTGGTGCAGATGTATCAGAAAGCTCTAAAGGCTGATCCATCATACAAGCTAGCCGCAGAATGCTTGGCAATTGTCTTGACAGATCTTGGCACGAGTCTAAAACTTGCTGGAAACTCTCCGGAGGGAATCCAGAAGTACTATGAAGCTATTAAGATCGACCCACACTATGCTGTGATTTCATATTCCCAGCTTCAATTATGATATTTGCTTGTCCTTTTCCTTCAATATCGAGGCATTTAAATTTTGATGCATCAGTTTTCTGTGTGCAGCCTGCTTATTATAACCTTGGTGTTGTGTATTCGGAGATGATGCAATATGACACGGCCCTTAGTTGTTATGAAAGAGCTGCAATAGAGCGACCCATGTACGCGGAAGCATATTGCAACATGGGTGTTATTTATAAAAATCGTGGGGATTTGGAGTCAGCAATAGCCTGTTATGATAGGTGCTTAGTTGATTGTTTTGCCACCTTCACTATGAAATTATGAATTCCTGGCTTCATGGTTTTTCATCCTGATGTAATAAGAATTCGTTTCTTGCTATGCTGTGCAGGTGTCTAACTGTTTCCCCAAACTTTGAGATTGCAAAAAATAACATGGCCATTGCCTTAACAGATTTAGGCACAAAGGTATGGTTTTTCTCCCTCCTGGTCATGTCTTATGTAACTCAGCCGCCCATGTATTGACAAACATTTCGTTTCTGTGGGCCAGGGGAAAAATGATGGGTTGTGGTCAGTGAAGTTTTAGGACTGCAGTTTTTGTGTCATTGCATTTATTCCATTCTCTTTGAATTTTCATGACATGATGATTATCCAACCCATCATTATCTGAAACTAGCAAATGCTCAAATCCTTCGCCTGATTCATCTCCTGTTATTTGTTGGTTATTAACTATCATATCATTACTTAAAGAAATAAGAAAATTTGCAACTTGAACTGTGAACGTTTATTGCTTTTGTTATCCAAAGTACTTTTTGGGTAAATTGCTACATGAATTTCACGAAAATTCATAGATTGAAACCGGTGTGTAGTGTACGAAAAGTTCTTGGGAGACTACACGTGTATGGCCAAGATGCACCAGAGGTCACATATTATGAATTTTAATGGAGACTTCATGTTCCACTTCTTTTTTTTTTAAAAAAAAAAATAAAAATAAAAGAAAAACTTTAAATTGTATACTGCATCTCAACACCTTGGTGTTCTCTCAGATTCATCATTGCAATGCATATCGTATAAGTTTTTGAATGGCTCATTCCATTAAATGTCTGGATTGTTTATTTAAAATGCTTCTTTTCAGGTTAAATTGGAGGGTGACATCAACCAGGGTGTTGCATATTATAAGAAAGCTCTTTACTACAATTGGCACTATGCTGATGCCATGTACAATCTTGGTGTTGCTTATGGGGAAATGCTGAAGTTTGACATGGTAATTGAAATAAATCAGGTTTTTCATATTTGACCTTTAAATACAAGCTTCTAATTTTAAAAAGATCTCATCATAGGGCATCACTGGGAAATTTGGCATGGACTTTGTGGTCTGTTGTATACGCGTTCAATTTTGTCTTATAAGCAATACAAATATTCTACTTCTGCTGGTCTGTGTATATAGATATAGATTGGCAACTGCTGAAGATAACATTGAATCATTGCATCACTTAGTCACTTTAGGATGTTCTTGTTTGATGTAGTATATGACGGCTGATTATCATATTCTAAATTGGCATCCTACTTATGCAGGCAATTGTATTTTATGAACTTGCATTCCACTTTAATCCCCATTGTGCGGAGGCATGTAACAATTTAGGGGTGATATACAAGGATCGTGACAACCTCGATAAAGCAGTAGAGTGTTATCAGGTGAATATGAATCTTGAAATTTTTATTGATAAAGTGCATCATATGTTTGGTTGTATGCTCATTATATACGTATGCATTTGCAGATGGCTTTATCTATCAAACCCAACTTTTCACAGTCACTAAACAATCTTGGAGTTGTGTACACCGTCCAGGTCTTGTATATAAAGCTTTTTCTTGTTTAATAACATTAATAGTACTATTATTATTGTTGTTGCCTTTATTATTAATTATCAATTATTGCTTTCTGCTTGGATTATATATTCATAGCGTTATTGCTTCTTACAGGGTAAAATGGACGCTGCAGCAAGCATGATTGAGAAAGCTATTGTTGCTAATCCAACGTATGCTGAGGCATATAACAATTTAGGTCTCTTTCTTTTATTATTCCATCTTCATATTGCCAAAAAACAATTTCCCTTGTTTGATAATGGGGTTCCCCTCCAATGGACCTTGTTACAAGTGTAGCTTCCTTTAAGGATTCGATCATACCAACATTAAGATTACATTTAGACTCAATGGAAGATAAAATCAAATTTATGTAACCAACCTTGGCTCGGTGGATATGTGTGTGTGTTTTGGGGTTGGGATAGATGGAAGATTGGTGAAGGGTTGGGCAGTAGGGTTGATGTTTGGACTAGTTGAAAGAATCTGAAATGTATTCATGATTACACTCTTAATATATATATATGTGTGTGTGTGTGTGTGTGTGTGTGTGTGTGTTTTGCTTACATAGCCATCCCTTATGTTAGAAGTCTATTTGGATGTGTAGGGGTTCTTTACCGAGATGCTGGAAATATATCTCTGGCAGTTGAAGCTTATGAGCAGTGCCTCAAAATAGATCCAGACTCCCGCAATGCAGGCCAGGTGCCGCTTCTTTATCTTGTGAATGTTGAGCCGAAGTTATGTTTTCAATGTTTTGTTTAATCCCTCCTGATTTTCTCTCATCCTGAAACTTGGCCTATTTTTTAGTGTAGCACTTAATTTATCATGTTCATGAGATGTCTGAGGTGTGCTAGTGAAATTTATTGTACATATTGCGTGAGATTACATATTATGAAATAGCTGTGCAAACAGCTGGTGAAGACCGTGCAAGTCTGAAGATTTAACTATAATGCGTATTCTTTGATTTGTACTTAATTTAAATCACTTTTTTGGGTTAATTTTCCTTCTGGCAGTTCAGTTCTTTTTTATTTATGAACTTTGGCAGGTTCCATGAGGAAAAGTTTCTATCTTTGTTCTTGCTTATATGATATACATGTACTAAAATGACTTTCATTAGCTACAGAAACCTTGTCAAACTTTTGGACTACCTTTGGCACTTGAGTTTGTGTACTGTATTTCATTAATCACAGTTGCTACAATGTTGTTTCTGCATAACAATATTTTCATTGGCGCATCTTGCAGAATCGCCTACTAGCATTGAACTACATATATGAAGGAGCTGACGATAAATTATACGAGACTCACAGGTCTAGCTTTTAACCATATGTTATTGCCCTCTCCTTATATGCTGGACATTGAAGTGCATAAACATCTGCTTTGCATCAAAGACATGGCTACATAACTTTGTGTGTATCTTTTCTGATATAAATAGTGTTATGCAACATTGACAAATCTTCCAACTGAATACTTGAGTTCTCAATGTTGTTTCCCTAGTCAAGATCTAAAAACTTTCTTGCATTTGTGACAGTGGTGTTTATACATTTCGCTAAATGACATTGATATCATGACCTTTTTTTTTCGGTTTAAATGTGTTACTGCAGGGACTGGGGTAGGCGCTTTCTGAGGTTATTTCCACAGTATAATTCCTGGGACAACGTTAAGGATCCGGAAAGACCGCTTGTTATTGCCTATGTGTCTCCTGATTACTTTACTCATTCTGTGTCATATTTCATTGAGGCACCAATTATTTATCATGACTATGCAAACTACAAGGTGGTTGTCTACTCAGCAGTTGTGAAGGTAGAAAACGTCGCAATGCCCTTCCTCGCTAACTGTATTTCGAATTTTTCCCATTTGAACTGCCAGTTATTTTATTTTTACCCCAATCAAATTTTTTATTCTCCAAAATTAATCGTCTGTAGAAATCAAGAACCTCAAATTAATTTATACGTTATGATCTCCTTTTTTGATGTGGCAGGCAGATGCAAAAACAAACAGATTCAGGGACAGAGTCCTGAAGAATGGTGGAACCTGGAGGGACATTTACGGGATTGATGAGAAAAAAGTGGCGAGTCTAGTTAGAGAAGATAAAATTGATATCTTGGTGGAACTTACTGGTCATACTGCAAACAACAAGCTGGGAATGATGGCTTGCCGGCCTGCACCTGTTCAGGTATTTTTTGACTCTATAAGTTTCTTAATCTACTTCATTATTTGATGTTAGACTGGTGTTTGACCTTCTATTTCACTTTGTGATCATGTGAAGTTAGAACGTTCAGTGCTTGAAATGACATCAAGTTTGGGTGTAGAAGATTTTTTCTAGTTTTGTTCTTGTTAGTTTTTTAAGTTTGCAGTATCATGAAGTATAGAAATCAGTTTAGACTACGCATTACGCTTATTATTATTAATATAAATGCTCTATATATCATACATTTATAACAAGTGGAAATGCTGATTATGACTCTCAAATACATCAAGAACATAATGCTGCATTTGAGAGGACTTAGAAAGTAAAAATTACGATTTGGACGCATGACTAAAGAAAACACCACATTTGCTAATGGCTTATGCCTGTCTCTCGGTATTGCAGGTGACATGGATTGGCTATCCTAACACAACTGGTTTGCCTACCATCGATTACAGGATAACCGATGCACTAGCCGACCCAGTTGACACGAAGCAGAAGTCAGTGCAACTTGTCTTTCAAATTTCTTTTGTGGTTTCAGTGCATACCGTATCCCAACTTCCGCTCATTTTTTAATATTATTGAGTTTTTCTGTTAATGGCAGGCACGTTGAGGAGTTGGTGCGATTACCTGACTCATTTTTGTGCTACACTCCTTCCCCTGAAGCCGGGCCTGTGTCTCCAGCTCCTGCTCTAGCTAATGGCTTTGTCACTTTTGGTAGTTTCAACAATCTTGCAAAGGTTTCTGAACAAACAATTGTGCATTTGGACCTTTGGTTTTAACATTTCATAATCCTCACTAGTTAACTATTTCTAATTCATCAGATAACACCTAAAGTGCTGCAAGTCTGGGCAAAGATTCTATGTGCAGTCCCGAATTCTCGGCTTATTGTCAAGTGCAAGCCCTTTTGCTGTGATAGCTTAAGACAGCAATTTCTTACAACCCTGGAGAAGTTGGGTTTGGACTCACTACGTGTTGATCTTCTGCCTCTAATCATTCTCAACCACGACCATATGCAAGCGTATTCTTTAATGGACATAAGGTGATTTTTAGTTATGTTTTTCATTTGAAACTGAGATGAAACAGTTGCTTCGGATTTTACTATTCCCAAGCTCTTTCTAACCACAGCCTCATACAGACAGTTCTACGATTCTAAGATTACAATCTGGATAAAAAATGTACTCCTGACTCCTAAGACATAATTAAAATCTTATCATAAAGTATTTGAGTTAAAATGGAAAAACCAATGGTTTGAGTAGCTTTTAGATTATTATTGGGCACGGATGCTTATGAGGCTAATAGAAATCTCTCTATTCCTAGCTTGGATACTTTTCCCTACGCAGGGACAACTACCACGTGTGAATCGCTATACATGGGAGTGCCATGTGTCACCATGGGAGGTTCGGTTCACGCTCATAACGTTGGCGTGAGTCTTCTCAAAACAGTTGGTACGTATTCATTGTTTATTCAGTTATCATCTTCTAAAAACTTACATTACCAGATTATTCTTGTATCCAATTAATAATAATATTCACGTATTATCTGGCGTAGTTAGCTAAACCTTATGAATTTATTATTATTCTCAGGCCTGAATAATCTGGTGGCAAAGAACGAAGACGAGTACGTGCAAATGGCTGTACAGCTGGCATCTGACCTTAATGCTCTTTCGAGCTTGAGAATGAGACTTCGTGATCTCATGCTCAAATCTCCCCTTTGTGATGGATCCAAATTCACCAGGGGCCTCGAGTCCGCATTCAGGAATATGTGGAGACGCTACTGTAAGGATGATGTCCCGTCTCTAAGGCGTATGGAGATGGAAAATTTGTGCACTCAACAGCCGTTGCTCGATTCACAAAACGTTGCTCCACAAGAAATGCCTGCAAAATTTAATGTCAGTGGTAACTCACCTATTAAGGCCAATGGATTCAAACCCGAGCAAATGAATAATACTTCCAGCCGTGAAGAAAACGGGTCGCTGTTGAAAATTTCAAGCTGAACGAACCCCTGTTTTGATTTTTGACGGCCAACATTGGTCCGTGGAGGATATATGATTGTGATCCAGGTTAGTGGTATTTTTTTTCCAGTGGCGTTAATGTAATTCATGATGGGAAACGAAGGCCCCTCTGTAATATATTTATTTTAATGGGGCTTTTTTATAACCTGTGGTGGGAATGGGATGGCTTGGTTTTGGCAGAGCATTCATTTAATCCTCATCTGAGGAGCTGGATTTTTGCGGAGGGGCTTGATATACTGGAATTAGTCCTTAGAAAAATATTCGTAAGAAGAAAAGGTATTGTTTTAGAAATATAAAGTCTAGTTCAGTGAAACATCAAAATGTAGTGGTGTGGCTTGTGGGAATGTATTATCAAATTTAGTAATTTACTGCTTTTTTTTGTACAAGTGGGTTTTGCATATATGAAGGATTGAAATAGTCGTGAAGGAAAAAGTTACATGTCCAGTTAATCGTTATTATCAGCTATTTGTGTTGTCAAGGGTGATCTTGAAAGAGCACATGAAAATGATAGGGAGGGACTGGAATTCCCCCTTTTTGAAAGAACTGCTTGTACTAGAGTTTGAAACATAAAGTCAGGTTGTCTGGTTATTATTTGTTACAACTCGATTGCAAACTGTATTTGTTGAGTCGGACTCGGTATGGAATTTTTGTTCAACCTGTAAACTACATATTTCATCAAGGCCACAAAGAATTGTTCGAAAATGTTAGATTAAAAAATGGGGCAATCACAAATCATCAAGATTTGGGTTATCAAAAGGAAAGAGTATAGGTGAACGTAGTTATTGTAACATTGTGATGAAATGAAGAAGTGTAGTTGAGTTTCAGAACTAAATTTAGAATCGCTTGTTCCAGTCAATAGTCATGACGACCTCCGAACCTAAGCTGTAAATGGGTTTCGTAAATAAAAATAATTACCATTCCACTGATAACTACGGTTGCCACCAAATAGTTTATTTATGTTTCACTTCTTTTTTACCACTTCCAAGTAGATAAGCCAACAATTGTAATAAAATTCATCATTGAATCAATGAAGTCGACTCTATCGGTGTGAGCACCGTTGAATTAAAAAAACATCTATGTGGATGTCTTTTTGTGATCCAACCGTTAGAAACCTGAAAGACGCATTACATAATTTAATACTAAATCCCTACACTTTCGTAGATATTACAAATTGCCTGAACTTTCAAGTTGGCTACTTGATATGTCTTGAGAATGTAACACGACAAGTTGAAGTTGTGCATAGATTGATCAGAAAGTCGGAGAATATATGACCACTCACGAAATGGGTCTACAAATTACAGTCAGATTCGTCACTAAATACTTTTAATGTGAAATAAAATCATCAACAAGCTTAGAATTGTCAAACCAACTGCAAGGTCTTATTTTCCTGTTGTAATAATTGAGTGTTATAAATGTATTTGCCCGGTCAACCATCCTCAACATCCAACCAATATTCCAACCAATACCATTAATAAATGTGGGTGGCAACCAACTCATACCCAATCAATATATTAATTATGGTTGTTGGAATAATTAATGATGGAATCTTCACCCAAACAATATGTTAATGACGGTTGTTGGCATGATTAATGATGGAAGAACTACTATAAGGAGTGGTGTTTCAACTGGGAGAAAAACACAGAAGAGACACACAACTCTGCAAAGGAAAGAAGAGAAATAGTAGTGGAAGAAAATAAAAGAAAAAAAAAATCTATATTTTTATTTCTATATTTTTTTTAGTGCTCAATTCTCGACTCCGTTTCAGTTCGTCGGAGCTCGTAAATCTGGTGTGCTACAAATTTAGAGACGTTTGCCGTTGTATCTTTGGGAAAGTTACGCCTGAACCGTTAGCTGACACACGGGGCGTATTCTTCTTGCGGAAAGAGTTTTACTCGCCTCGGCTAAATTCTTTCTATTTTATTTTTTTCAGTTGTAATTTATTTTTCAGTTCAATTGTAATTTTCTATTTTAGATTATTTGTAAGAACTGAAAAATTACATATCAGTTCGTAGGATTCCCGTGTAACTTTGACATAAGTTTGTAACAATCGCAAGAAGAATAACTCAACCTACTGGACTGATGGCTTCCACCGGAAATGGTTCCAACACTCAGCATCCGATCAATCATGTACCTGTTGTCCATGTCCCTACTGCTGAGAAGCCCGAAAAATTCAATGGGCTTGATTTTAAAAGGTGGCAACAAAAGATGCATCTTTACCAGACCACTTTGGGTTTGGTGAAATACCTGAAGGACTACCCCCGGTTATTGCTGAAAATGAGACCAATACTGAACTACGCACTGCGTACGAAGCTTGGGGGCAAGGTGATTACCTTTGCCGTAACTATGTCCTGAACGGACTTAGTAACGAGTTGTACAATGTATACAGCTCGGTTGGTTCTGCCAAAGAGCTTTGGGCTGCTTTGGAGAAGAAGTACAAGACTGAGGATGCTGGGGTGAATAAATTCGTCGTCGGCAAATTTCTTGACTTCAAAATGGTTGACACTAAGACCGTTGTGTCTCAAGTGCAAGAGTTCCAACTCATCTTGCACGATATCCATGCTGAGGGAATGTCTCTGAGCGAGTCATTCCAAGTTGCGGCTGTGATTGAAAAACTGTCGACGGGTTGGAAAGACTTCAAGAACTGCCTCACATATAAGAGGAAGAAATGAGTCTTGAAGACTTGATTGTTCGTCTTCGTATTGAGGAGGACAATCGTAATTCATCGAGAAAAATTCCAATGATTGAGGCTCGTGCTAACTTGCTAGAGCAAGGCAACTCGAGCAAGAGGAAGTCCCTTGACAAAGGGAAGCAGCCTGCCAAAGTTTGGAAGTTTACCGGAAATTGCTATAATTGTGAAAAGCCGAACCATATGGCTAAAGACTGCACGAGGCCAAAGAAAGGTAAACCGAGTGCCCTTGTGGCTGAACACGGCCCTGTGCTGGGTGAACTGACTAACTTTGATATGTCGGCTGTGGTGTTTGAAGCCAATATGGTGGATAACCCAAGGGAGTGGTACATCGATACTGGTGCCACTCGTCATGTGTGTTCCTATAAGGAGGTGTTCTCTGAATACACTCCTGCCAAGAGTCGGAAACTTTACGTGGCAAACTCCGCCACGACTGATGTGGCTGGAGTGGGCACTGTGGTGCTGAAGCTGACTTCTGGAAAGGAGTTGAAGCTTAAGGATGTTCTGCATGTCCCAGACATCCGCAAGAATTTGGTCTCCGGATCTCTTCTTGTTGAGCATGGATTTAGGCTGGTATTTGATGCTAAGAAGTTTGTTCTTAGCAAGTTTGGAACTTTCCTTGGTCGTGGCTATCTCGAACAAGGGTATGTTCAAAATGAATGTAATGGCCGTGAGCCGTGTAACCATTTTAAATGATAATGAAAAGTCTATTTCTGTTTATACTTTTGAGTGTTCTGATTTATGGCATATTAGATTGGGACATGTAAATCTAAATGCAATTAAACGGTTAATGAATTTAGAATTAATTCATAATTATAAAATCGAATCACAGAAGAAATGTGAAATTTGTATTGAAGCAAAAATGGCTAAGTTGTCTTTTCACTCGGTGGAAAGGAGTACTGAACCATTAGGCTTGATCCATACTGATGTATGTGATATGAAAAGTGTGCAAACAAGAACTGGTAAAAAGTATTTTATTACTTTTATCGATGATTGGACAAGGTTTTGCTACTTATATTTGTTAAGAAGCAAAGACGAGGCTGTGGAAGCGTTTAAGATCTATAAGACCAAAGTTGAAAATCAACTCGGCAAAAAGATCAAAATAATTCGAAGTGATAGGGGTGGGGAGTATGTAGCTCCTTTTGAACAAATATGTTCTGAATATGGCATATTTCATCAAACGGCAGCCCCTTATTCTCCACAGTCGAATGGTGTTGCTGAACGCAAGAACCGTATGTTAAAAGAAATGATGAATGCCATGTTGATAAATTCAGGATTACCCCAAAACATGTGGGGGGAAGTTGTTTTAACAGCAAATCATTTTCTGAATAAAATACCACCTAAAGGGAAAAATGAGACTCCTTACGAAGTGTGGAAAAATCGTAAGCCGTCTTATAAATACCTGAAAGTGTGGGGGTGTTTGGCTAAGGTTTCAGTTCCTGAACCCAAACAAATGAGAATCGGGCCAAAGACGGTCGATTGTGTGTTTATTGGATATGTGTACAATAGTATAACATATAGATTTCTGGTTCATAAATCAGAAAATCCAGAGGTATCTGTTGGTACCACGATTGAGTCGAGGAATGTTATATTCTTTGAGAATATATTTCCTCTGAAGGAAAGGGCAGAATCTAGTTCTAATAGACGAACATACGAAACTGCTAATGGTTCTGTACCAGAGGGTACTGATGAAGAACCAAGACATAGTAAAAGGGTAAAAATGGCGAAAACGTTTGGACCTGATTTTATTACGTACATGTTGGACGATGAACCGAGTTCCCTTAAGGAAGCTCTGTCCAGCCCAGATGGACCACTCTGGGAAGAATCTGTAAATAGCAAAATCGAGTCCATTATGCAAAATCATACTTGGGAGTTGGTTGATCTCCCTGAGGGTTGTAAACCTTTAGGATGCAAGTGGATCCTAAAGAAGAAATATAAAGCTGATGGATCGATTGATAAGTTTAAAGCACGATTGGTGGTCAAAGGCTTTAAACAAAAGGAAGGGTATGATTTCTTTGATACCTAACGTCGATAAGAGTGATTCTCTCGATTGCTGCTTTGCACAATCTTGAGATTCACCAAATGGATGTTAAGACGGCATTTTTGAATGGTGAATTAGAAGAAGAAATATACATGGAACAACCTGAAGGGTTTGTTGTACCTGGACAAGAGAGAAAGGTGTGTAGGTTGATCAAATCCTTGTACGGACTGAAACAAGCTCCGAAACAATGGCATTTGAAATTTGATGACGTGATGTTGTCAAATGAGTTCAAAATCAACGAATGTGACAAATGTGTTTATGTCAAGAGTACATCAAATACATTTTTGATTGTATGTCTATATGTAGACGATATGTTGATCATGGGTAGTAGCCATAAAGTGATCATGGATACGAAAAGAATGTTGAAAAGAAATTTCGACATGAAAGATATGAGTTTGGCTGATGTTATTCTTGGAATAAGGATTATCAGAACCCAAGATGGAATTGTCTTGTCACAATCTCATTATGTAGAGAACGTGCTGAAGAAATTTGATACCTATGACGGTGCACAGTCTAGGTGTAAGACACCCATTGATCTTAGTATAAATCTGGTAGCCAATAAAGGTCAACCAGTGGCTTAATTGGAATATTCACGGATAATAGGGAGTCTGATGTACTTGACGAATTGTACACGACCAGACTTGGCATATCAGTAAATAAGTTGAGCAGATTTACGAGCAATCCCAGTCATGAATATTGGAATGCTTTGAGAAGGGTACTTAAGTACTTGAGGTACACCCTTGAACACGGCTAAAATACTCGAGATACCCAGCCATACTTGAAGGGTACTGTGATGCAAGCTGGATATCAGATTCGAGAGATTCTCGCTCCACTAGCGGATATGTTTTC